ACAGAAAATTTCTGTGAACTGAAAAGAAAAAGCAAAGTAAAATTTACTCTTGAGGAAAAACTGACAGCTCTACTGAAGGTTAAAAGCCCCTCTCCATAATCTAGATTAAGTGCTATGTTCACAAAATACTACTGAAGTTTGATGCAGGTTATCACAGCATAGTAACCCTTCAACAACTGCATATGGGCACACTGCTGCTTTTACCTAATAAGCACCCCGGCAAAAACATAACAGCCAGACATAATAGTGTTGTAGCTCAGTCAAGGCTAAAAGGCAGAGCTTTCCTGACAGCCAAGCTGATGGCAAAAACCTTTTTCTCGAGGAACAAACAGCTCAAATGTGGACAGGCTCTGATAGCAGCAAGGTGACAACTAGCACGGTAGAGAAGCTGCCACCTTCAGCAACTATAATGCAGAGCATGTGCTAAAGGGGATAATTCCACTTTGTGTGTTTGTTTTTGAAATTAAGCTCTTTAAAAATAAATTGGCAGGTCCTCCTCGAATAGCACACTGGTACCCAAAACAGCAAGCCAAAGGGCTGTGTGCAGCATCAGCGTTAGAGGAACAGCACAAGTGAACTGTTCCCCCAGGAGGCAGAGCAGCCTCCAACGTTGAATCTCAGATGGCTCCTGTCCTGCTCCTAAGGCTGCTGCTTTGAAAGATGTTTAAGCTATACAATGTATCTCTACATATATGTCACATACGGCTACTTTTACACTGTACATCAGCTGCAAGCCCATATTCCTGCTCACGGCTGCAGTTGTTTCCATCATCTGTCTCATCTGGGCCAGCAGCAATACCTGACTAGGATGAAGGCAGGTCACCAGAGCACAGGGAGAAAACCAGACGTCTCCTGACTTTTAGCCCTTTTGTCCTATAGAAAAAGCTAGTTAACCAAGCAGCAGCACTAAAAGAGAGGTCCAAGGAGAGATGGAGTTATGACTTGTCTTCCTAGAGCACAAACTAAGCTTGTTTGCTTGTGATCCTAAGGATTTGTGGAGCTTCAAGCCTGTCCATGCTCTAGACTGGTTTTGAATGGAAGAGGAGTTAGGATGCAGTTTAGGGCTGACCTTCATTAATAGCTTGCTATCTAAATATGAAAATGAAAGTATCTCTAACTGGTACATTCAGTGCACTAGCAGACAAGAGCACAAGAATTGCCCTTGAGAAGCTCTGAATTGTAATGTCTGGCCTGCAGGGGCAGGTCTCTGTTTCAGCCACAGGAGCAGAAAGCTGCTATGGTTTGTTTTCATATGACAATGTGTCCCCAGTGCAAAGTCAGATCTCAGCACATTGAAGCCCACAGCTACCCTGCCCCTGACTTGATGATCTTTGGAATATGTTCACACAGGAGGTAATTCTGGTTACACTGATTTCAATAGACTCAGGACTTTTTCTGAGTCAATGCACAAACATACTAAAAGAAAAAAAAAAAAACTTCAGTAAGACGAGTTACTAAGTTATAAAGAAATCACATTTTCAAACAACAAAATCTCAAAATATAGAAGCACCACAAAAAAGCTACAGTCTCAAAGCCCTTCATCATATATTCTGGTAAAAACAACTATCACTATGCAGAATAAAGCACATGCCTACCCCACTTAGGTTAGTTAGGCATATGTGTTAATATTGTAGGAATGGGGTGTAGCATGTGCCTTTTATACTAAAAGAAATACCTATATACAATTTTGGACCCTAGTATTTGTATTTATCCAAAGAACTATTCATATAATAGGACAGTGTTTCATAGGACTATTGAGGAGAAACTTAATCTTAATTCCTGACTATACAATAATAAATGCTGAACTGTAGCAACTGTGTTTCAACAAGATAAGGCCTAAAAATCTAGATTATAAAGATACAGAAGTATACGTTCTAAAGACACTGCTCATTGTCAGCATTTATATTATCACTTGCAGGGAATACCTGATATTATTTTTAACAGATTTTTTCTAATGAAGAAGTGGGAAGGGGGACAGAAAGACAGCACTTCTCACAGTTTCAGATCTACCTCGAAGAATAAGAAAGCAATGTAAGAGGAGCTCAGAATTAACATGATCCAAGTAAATTATGAAAAGCTACGTGGGTGTATAGCATTTAAAAATGAGCAAAAAAGCCCCCAACAATGGGAAATCCTCATGGCTTTGGGGCAGGAGGTTTGAAGACACCCGTCCTGCGGAAGTGGCGCACGATGAGCGGCACAGAGAGCACCGTGATGCTGATGCGCAGCGGGGCAAACAGCTTGTGCACGGCGTAGGCCAGCACGAACGTGCTCGTCCCGGCGGCCACCCGCGACTGCAGCGACGCCTCGCTGAAACCCAGCTTGAAGAGAACCGCAGCCATATCCACGCCGCTGGGGAAGGAAACAACACTTTCAGTTTATTTCTGAACTACACGCTAAAGAGTATGAATTTAAAGTGTTACTGGTACTGGGAATTTAACAGAAAGCAACTATCCTTTCAATTCTGGAAGTTCAGTTGGATTGAATTCAAGTGCTAAATACGTAAGGAATAAATCCAACAAATTAATTCATCACTAACCACCCAAGTTGCTTTTGTAATAACAACATATCAAATACTTTCAGAAGAGCATTTTTTTCTTCCACAAAGTCCCTAGTAAGTCTTTTTTTTTTCTCAACTGTGTAACTGCAGTACACGCATGCAGGATACTCATGCTCGGCTTCCTCAAACAAAAACCAAAAAATTATTGCTCCGAGTTTTAAAGGTTCGAAATCTGTGAATTCATGTTAGAAATTCACTTTTCCAATATTTAAAATAAAGTCCAGTCTTGTATCTTGATCAAACTTATCAAGATCTTCAACTTATCTGCTTAAACATACTAGATCCAAACCAAGATACCTGCTGCAAGGCTTAGAGTTTTCTACCAGAAGATTACAAAGATGTTTGAGTGCCAAGTGTCCCATCTAAAATCTAGTAAGCAAAGTAAGTATTATGGTTATTAAATAACTGTCCTCATGGTTATTAAATAATTTTTACTCAGCAAGTCCTTAAACGTTTTCACTGTCTATAGACACAGTACTTTTCATCACAGTCCCCCTGTTCAGGGTGATTTTCCTAAAGAAGTTATTGCTGCAGTTTTCATCCCTTTCACTTGCCACTGCAAGTGAAATTTTTGTAACTGGGATTTAAATTGTACCCAAATGAAAAAGTTTTCACTGCCACCATGAGCCCTGATGTGTAAATGGCAGAAATCAAATGTTTGCATATCCTTACTAAAGTCAAGAGTTAGGCAGAAACATAGTTTCTCAAAACATTCTCTGCCTCCATCTCAATAGAAATATTCTGAGCTCAAAAGGCATTTCTACAACTAATAGAACCCCACCAGAAGCTACATAAACAGCTTCCCACTTGTCTCCTGTAAGGTTATCTGGTATTTTCCTTTTCACCCAAACCTTTGTTTTTGCATTTGTTGCTTCTGCAGTTTGAACTGAGTTCACATCCAGGAAGATAAATTCATCTTTAAGGCCCAGCACGTTCGTCTAGCTCTATCTCTACGGGCCACACAGCTGCTTGATAACAAAAGGCACCTCCACAGCCCAGGAATAAATTCTCTCAATGGGCTGGTGCAGTCTCTATTCTGTTCTTCCCCACGCCACTCTGGGCCATGAAGCTATGTGGAAGGACAAAGTGCATCTACCTTTTCTCATGCTGGATTTGAGATTAGATCTGTTTCTACTTATCAAAAGCTCTACACTCAGAATGAAAAGATTTCTGTTCACAAGCCAAACAGGCACAGAGCCCAGGTATGCACAATGGTAACTGGCATCTATACAAACCGTACCTTGACACGGCCAGGTAGAAGATTCCTAGAGATACTAATGAAATTCCAACATGGAATGAAACCCCTACAGCACCATATTCTTTGAAAACTTGTTTGAGCTGTTGTGATTTGTTGGGTTTCTTGTTTTCACCGCTGGGATCTGGGGTTGCCTTTTCAGGGCGTCCAACTGCATCCTAAAAAAATAAAACAGTTTAAAGTACTTAGAAGCATTGAGCATTGCACTGCAATGCAGTGTTGTAATCCACATCGAAGGGATGCACCGTGTGTGGTGCAAGTCCTTACACAACCCAAGTTTCATCCTTAACATGGTCCCAGTCCCAACGGGTGCCAGGGCCCATCCGCACAGTTCCTTAAAACATGGAATTGTGATGACAAAGGGATTTTTACTTGTACTTGCTCACCCTTTCACCGTGTGTTGTCAAAACGTGACTCCTCGTTCAAGGGCTGTGCAGATTCCAGCGCCTGCAGCCTCCACGGAGTCACACAGGGGTGCACAAATATAACTTATATAACTGCCAATAACTTCCCGACAGAGGAGGAGCCTCACTCAAGTTCCTACAAATGACACACCGGGGAGCAGCTGGCAACAGAGGAACCTCTTTTATTACAGAGGAGGAAAGAAAGGGAGCTAAAATAGGTGTTTCTGCATCCTTTGAACTTTAAAGGATAGAACCAGTTGCATAAACTGAACAGTTTTCTCCACATCTTCTGCAAAAGGGCGTCCTGACAACTCAGCCAGTGCTTAGCCAGGAACCTTTGTTTATTTAACAGTATTATTTTTACTTTCGTAATTTGGGGGGTGTTTGAATGATACGTTAAAAACTAGCAGATTTTGATGAGTTTTTCATTCAAATGGAAAGCACCGGGGTCCACACACGAGGAGCCCCTTCAGGGAGCCCGCGGCCCGCCGCGCGCCCTCACCCACCTTGGCGCTGCCGGCCGCTCCGCGCGGCGCTCCGAGGGGC